CAAAATCTGGAGATGTTGTTTCTCTCTTCCTGGTTCCTCTAGAATTTAGAAACTGTGAGTATTCTTAGATTACGGCAATATAGTTGTTTGGGTCAGTGAAATAAGAATCCATTTTCTTTTTCAACAAAACGCAATTGGAGAAACTGGTTATTTTACCAAGGCTTTGTGCAGAAGAGTATGTTTCTCTTTAAGGAGTCAAGCCCAACTTGCAGAGAGAATAAAATCCCCATGGGAAAACCTGGCCTCATAACCTTGTCTATGAAGTCCTTGTACAGGGTTCCAGATCTGTGGCCAATAAAGAATGTCACTTTCTAACAGGCTCAGGACCTGCAAATTTATTTTGAGACCTTCAGAAGAGAGGATCACCCAACTCACAGGTATATGAGGATACAAACATATCGCTGGGTTGGGCTTTTAAGTCTTTTCTGAGATTTATTGTGTAACAGAGTTCCATCAAAGCCAATCCAAAAGGCCTATGTAGAAATAATTATCCCTGCTGCAGTTTATGCAAATAATCAAGCCAAGTGTAAGACTAAAGTCTATTTTGCAAACTACCCAGTCTTATGATAATTTGTTTTTTTAACAAAAAAGAAGAATGAAGAGAAATTATGTTTCAAAACTGATCATGCATTTACCAATAAATTATAAACTTATTAGTTGTTTTAAAGTTTCTGCCTACATTTTAGACTAACCCTACTTGTTCCAGTGAACCAACCAGCAATCTCCAGCTGCACCTCAGAAAGAACCACAGGGAATGTGCAATGTAGAAATTCGGATCAATATTTTAATTCTGAGCAGTTATCCTGTAAATCCTGCCAGGTGATGGAAATAAATAGGGCGCCCAACACCCAGAGGTTTCTTCTTTGGGAAAGTAAGACCAAGGGGGCTAACCAAAGCTGAAATTCCATCTGTGAGCCAGGAAGCCTATTAGCAGAACTCTCGCTTTGCTGAGAGTCACTGTTTTCTTTTTTTTTTTTTTTCCTTTTCACTCAATAAATCCTGCCTTTCCTGCCCTTCAAAGTGTTTGCGAGCCTAATCTTTCATGGTTGGGTGACAAGGAACATGTTTTTAGCTGAACAAAGAAGAAAGCCCTACGACACAAAAACTTTTCAAAAGAGAGATTAACTTCTGAGATATAAATCTGAAAAGTTTTTAAGAGACAGACTATAGAATTTAAAAATTAAAAAACTTATTGTATTAATGTCTCTATTTTTAATAAAAACTTGTTTTAATCATGTCTGTATTTTTGTATTAGTGTAGAAAAATGATCATAGTTTCCTTTAATTAAAGCCTATTAATCTCAAAACATTTTTATGAATTCCTTTTTTACTAACCTTATTACAACTTAGACCATTCACAATGTGCTTGGACTTTCTTATTTGTCCTAAATGTTTTCCTTGAACAAGTCAGCCATTTCATTTTATTTTATGGATTCTTTCTTATATAAAATTACATTTCTTCTTACCTTTCTTACTGAAACTATCTCTTCATAACTCTGTACATTTCTGATTTTCTGGTTCATTTTTCCTTGTTTTGTAAATAACCTTTAAAAATGCTTTGATTTAGACAAAGATATTTACCTTTTAATAAGAATATATATTAAAAATGTGTTTCTTTAATTTTTAAATGGGAAATTACCCATTGAATTAACAGCTATTATTTACTATAACCTTAGATTATAAATTATATGAGAAGTTTGTTTGCAAGCATTTATTACATTTACCAGGTTAATTTACTTAATAGTTTACCTAGATTATTCATGAAAACTGTGGGAGTCATTATTAAAATATTTTTATTTATGAAAAATTACACAAACAAAGGTTATTCTGTTTTGGGCTGGGTATATAGTTTTATAAAATTTACGGCAAATTTTGAAATCTTACAGTATCGTGCAGGAATAAGTATGAAACTGCTTGGTCAGTAAATGCACACAAAAATGCTAACAATTCTTAAAAATTTTTGAACATTTTACCAATAATTTAAAGCCAGTTAATTTATTAAAGATTTTACTTACATCACATGAACTTAGAACAGCATTTGACTTAGCCTTTTTTTCCTGATAATGTATTCGATTTAAATTCTTTTATTTTTGTTTAAGCCAATTAATTAGAGCTTTTAAAATATATTACTAGTAGTGAAACAGTGTGTACACAGCACATAAGCACATAAACACAACACATAAATACACAGACATATTAGGTATACATCTAATAGGTATGTCTCATAGATCCATGTAGATATGTCTAATATATGTAGAAGTAAATCTTATAAATTAATAAGATCTATGTTTTCTATTTTAGATTTCCAAATTCTTGATAATCTGTTTCATTAGCCTAGGCAGTTGTCAGCTAAACGGCCCTAAATCTGCATGTTAGGGGTAACAATTCTGTGATAAAAAATCGGATAGCAAAATTTACATCTCTAACTACAGAGACAAAAAAATCCAGTGTCCTTGAGAAAAATTAAAATGAATTGAATTGCCAATTTAAACATAAAATTATAAAACTCTAACATAGAATTGTGTAAGAAAACCAATTTTATTTAAATAGGTAGTTCTAATTTTAGTCTGCATCTTTGAGCTCTGGGAAGAATCTACGCTGTATCCTGGGTTTCCAATAAGAGAATTATTTTGAGGCTAGACGATGTTTTACAGTGCACCTTTTTTTTTCTTTTTTACAAAGATATTTCTCTAAGTGTCTAAATTACACTCTTTTTTCTTTTAAACATATAAGAGTAGTCTGTGTTGTAATAACTATTTTAATTGTAAAAATTTAGGTAACACAATACAAGCAAGAGCTTAAGACCTTAAGGGAAATTTTTTTTTTTTTTCTGTTTACACTCTTGGGGTTCCATAAGGAAGAAACAGAGGTTTTGGTACAGGTATTCAGACAGGCATGAGTATGACAGGAGAAGGCTCTCCCCCGCCTATTAGGAATATCAGAGGATGGTTTGGTAATTATCACATAGCCTCTCTAAAAGTGGTAAATTGGCAGCTAGCAGCAGGGAGGGGCCATTTTTTTTTGACGGTACACACTTGTTGCACTACAGTGTTAATTGAATGCAGGCACCAGGGAGAAACAACTTCCTGGGCCTGTGTATTAAGAGACAAAATAGTGGAGTATTACTTTCTAGGGGCACTTCACCAGAAAAGGGAAGAAGGCCTCCTATGGGCATGCGTACAACTTCCTAAACCGACTGCACATGCTCTCTTCCCAAGGGTAAGGAAGACACGGTGCATGTGGGCAGGCCAGGCTGAGGGAAGTATCGTGGGAAAGGGGTGGGAACGGGTGCAAGAGGCCAGAGGTGGGCTAGGACTATAAAGTCATGGGATTAAGGTTAAACACTGCACTTGTTCTTCAAGTCACCTGCTTGGGTCTCTTTCAAGCGCACTTTTCTTTTCTTCCTATACTAAAATCTTTTTAAAGAAACTTCCATTCCTGCTCCAAAACTTGCCTCAGTCTCTTTTTCTGCTTTATACCCTTCAGTCATAATCTTTCTTCTGAGGAGACAAGAATCGAGGTTGCTGCAGACCTGTACAGATTTACAGCCAGTAACTTGGATGCTTTTTACCGGTAACCTATTTGGTCCTAGGAGACTTGGATATTTACCGCCGATAACAGTTTCTCCCCAAAAAGGAATCTGACACCTTCTCTGTTTTCTATAAGGTATCCCAGGATCTTAGAAACAATTTAAGAAACACTTCCTCCAGATGAACAAGGTTATAGGAAAGAAAACAGCAAAACCGAATAGAAACAAAGGTCATTCAAATAGACAAACATACACAAACACGTCTTTTACTTCAGAACTTGAGATATCAGATGTTAATACAAAGTCATTGGCTTGGAAGATAATACAAAATCAAACAAACAAACAAAAAGAAACCCAACAACACTTGGATCCAAACAGTGGTTTGCATCTCAGTAGAAAAGTAAGAGCAGATGTGAAGCAGGCAGAAAAGAAAATAGAAGAAAGAGGCACTCGGGAACTCAATAATTTGCAGGTCAACCTTAATGCTCTTTATTCTTGATGTAAAAGTGAGCAAAAAGACAATAATATGCCAATTTTACACAAAAATTTGCAAGTAAAGGCACCATCAAACCAATGGAGTGCCTGAAAGAGGGTAATTCTCTTTTCTTCCCCCCTCATTCTTAGCTTGTTTCCTGCGGATTTTTTCCTTAAAAGGAGAAACTGACCTGTGGCCTAGGGTTTTAGTGGAGTGGGTCAACGTGTGCTGCTTGTGAGCAGGATGCCACAGCATGTCACCACTGGGTCATCTTTGTCTTCTTGGGGGTGTCAGTTTCTTTCTCTGAAGGTCTAGCACCTCTAGGAGGGCTAAAAGTGTGGCGTGCCTAGCTTTATATGCACTTCCTGGACAAGCCTCTTTAATTATGTTGGGGTTCTCTGTAGAGCCACTGCACATCACTGGGGGTTGCCTTTTGGCTGGGAGAAGTAAAATGCCCTTTCTTTTCCGAGCTGTGAAAACCGTCGCTGATTTATCTAAGAAAACAACAGTTCAGTTTCTCACACAAATGCAGACCAGCCAAATGGAGATTAATTCTGGGAGAAAAAGCAACGGAGAAGATCATTTAAAATGCATCTCCAAACTAGAATTAAGTTCCTAAACAATAATTTATTAGGAAGATAAAAAAAAAAAAAAAAAACTCAGTTCAGAATAAATCAAGGACCATCAACCAAAGGAAGGTCCAAGACTCAGTACGACTTACCAATTCCACTAAAAGAGAAGCTCAAAGCCAGAGAGGCTTTCAATGGCACCTTGGTGGTATCTTAGCTATGAGTTTGGGCAACTCTTTCTGGATCCTGATTCTTCTCTGAGATCCCACGTGTTTGGTTGCCAGGTTATTGTTGATGAAAAGAGTAAAACTCAGTAAAATATTTGAAGATATTTATTCTGAGTCAAAATGAGTGATGATGACCCGTGACACAACCCTCAGGAGAGCCTGAGAATATGTGCCCAAGGTGGTCGGGGCACAGCCTGGTTTATATATTTTAGGGAGATACAAGACATCAGTCAAATACATTTAAGATATACATTGGTCTGGTCCAGAAATGTGGAACAACTTGAAGAAGGGACTTTCAGTTTATACATAGCTTGAAATTTTTTTCTGATTGGCAATGTGTTGAAACAGTTATGACTAGAAAGGAATGTGTCATTTATAATAAAAGGTTGTGGAGACTCAAGTTTTATTATGCAGACGAAACCTCCAGGTAGCAGACTTCAGAGAAAATTAATTGTAAATGTTGCTTATCAGACTTAAAATCTGCCTTGATATTAGTGCTGGAGAGGTATAATGAGGTGTGTCCAACCCTCACTTCCCATCATGGCCTGAACCAGTCTTTCAGGTTAAATTTTAGAATGCCCCGGCTGAGGAATTACATTCAGATGCTTGCGGAACCTTTGAATTTTATTTTTCTTGTACACGACAATGATTCTTGCATCCAAGCAGCTCTGCAGCAAGAAGGAGGCTTCCCTAGAGCTTCTCACCTTGTCCCAAGTCCTGCAACCAAACACCTGGTGAAGACCAAAATGAACAGTTTGTAAATCAGTGCAAATCATTATTTTACTTACAATTCTCCCAGATTATATTGGACAGGTGAATATAATTATCTTCTCCCCCAAAAGTCCAGTAACTTGAGTCTATAAATCCGAGTTACAATGGGCAAATTAACAGAAAAAAATGGCATACATATTTATTGATGTTCAAAAGGGAATAGGAGTCATGTATAAAGTATTAGGTTCAAAGCAGTGGTCAGAAGGTTAAAGTTTTTACAGCATCCTGATGGTCCAGAAAGAATAGAGGCTTGGAGCATGGCAAGATAGCTTATGAGAGAGAGAGAGGGAAGAAAGGCATGGTGAGCAAAGACATTCTTGTTAAGCTGATGAAACTTCAAAAGTAACATAAAGTACAGCTAGTAGCCTGTGGTAACAGTCTCTGTGTCACACAATCAAAGGTTTCAGACTCTGTTTCTCTGTCCTGTGAGTTAATATTTTTTAGACCTTGACAAAGGAGGAAGGCTTACAGAAAACTGGACTGTGTATTTTGCTAATGCATATTTTTCTCTACTGATAAAAATCTCTTCCAAAGAAACTTTGCAGAGATATTTCTCTCTGCAGTCCCTCTGAATAACCATCTCAAAATATGTCAATAAACCATATTTTGTGGTGAAATAGTTTGTCTACTCTAATTCATCTAAATGCTAATCCATGTTCTACCTTTAACAACTTAATAAAAAATAACATTTTTTAGCTGTCCTGCATAATACCCGTTTTTCAGCATCTGCTCCGTCTATGTAATCGAGTGCTTTCATTCTATTTTCTCCTGGGTTGTGCTTGCCTTTTCTAGATCGTAGAATAGTTTATTGTCCCAAAACCTTATCTCTCTTATAATTTTTTTAAATGCTGTATTCTTCCAGATTTTCTACAATTTTTGATTTTTCTTTTTCTCTTTTTCAGCTTTCTACATCCTAGGTAGAAGTGAGAATCCTATAGCTGTATTTTAAATTATTGTTTTGACTTGTGAACATTTATTTTGAGAATACAGTGAACTATATCTTGACTTCTACAGGAACTTAAACTAACAGGAAGGAAAAAAACTTCAAGATAAATATTTAATTAATGCAGTTAAAAAACCAGTAAGTATTTAAATATTATTAAAAGTTAAGTATAGACTGAGCGTGGATATAGACATTTAAAAAATCCTACCAACTCTGTTTTGGGATTTTTACATAAATATTGAAGTATCTAATATGATATAGAAATGATGTGAAATTTTTTAAATATATATTTTATTGCATGTTAGGTTTTGAGGTACATGTGAAGAACATGCAAGATTGTTGCATAGGTACACACATGGCAGTGTGATTTGCTGCCTTCCTCCCCATCACCTATATCTGACATTTCTCCCCATGTTATCCCTCCCCAACCACCCACTGCCTGCTGTCCCTCCCCTAGTTCCCCCACGTAGATCCCAGCGTGTAGTGCTCCCCTCCCTGTGTTCATGTGTTCTCATTCTTCAACACCCACCTATGAGTGAGAACATGCGGTGTTTGATTTTCTGTTCTTGTGTCAGTTTGCTGAGAACGATGGTTTCCAGGTTCATCCAATGATGTTAAATTTAAATATAGAACCATTATATTTCCATTATAGTAGAAAAACAATGTACACTAGTGTTTAGAATGTTTTTGTGAACAGAAGAAAAATAAAGCATAAGAACTGACCGGTAGTCAGAGAAGTACAATTATAAGTTCTGTGGATGACATATATTTTCATTTTAATATAAAAATGAATTTGTGTGACCCAAAGCAGAACTTTTATTGGCATAAACATTTTCTGTACATAGCTATTACTCCATCTCTTACTGATTGTGAACTCACTTAATGAAGAACTCCATATCTCCATAATGGCATTAAGAATGACTGGCTTTTCCATGTTTTTACAAAAGATTGATTTCCTGCTGACATTTTCTAAATTCCCAAAAGAACACGCAAAAATTAAAACTTTGCTTTTACCACTTCCCTTCTCTCTCTTCTATTTGTCTATAGATTTGTCTGTCACCACTTTTCAATCTCTAGTCCTTGTATACAATATTGGTGCAATGAATATATACTATTGTCACTCAGACTTTTTTTCTGTCTGAATTTTCTTAACTGTACGTTTCTGGCTTATTCTAATTCATTACTAGGTTTTTAATTCAAATAGTATTTCTAATAGAAACTCTTTCTTGCCTGACTGGTCTATGGCAGACACTCTATCAAGTTTTCCTTAAATAAATAAATTAGGAATACACTTTTAGGTCACTTATATAAAAGAATCCCAGCACGTGCATCAGAGAAAATGGCACTATCTTAAAAGGGTTTAAGCAAAATTGATGCGTCTTTTCCCCTTTTATGTGGGTTGCTTGTTGAAAGCTTTTTTGAACTTCTAAATGGAAAGACATATTTGTACCAACTCACATACCCAAGGCCTATTCACTTGCAACAACAGGATCTCATCAATTTAGTGCCAAAAGCTCATGACTCAATAAATGTAAAGCTCCTGAGTACTGGTGACTATGGGGCAATGGAAAGAAAAGGTGCTGATTTTTAACTCTTGTGTAGCCAGATCCTCTGTTAACCCATTAAACAAATGGAAAGCACTCTATTTGAATACCTATATCAATTCAGTAATAGAATACAGGGAAACCTCCACTTTTTGAACTTTCTTCTGAATCACTCTCCTTTCTCACCTTGGTGACTGCATTTCCCTACTTAGCAGCATAAATGGTCACTTGTTATTCATGTACCAAAGTGCAAATGACAAAATGCAGCTCTATGTGAATACTCATGAATGCACTTTTTGTGCCTACCACCACTTAATTCATTTTTTCCACATGCAAGGCACACAAAAAGCCGAGTTGAATAGTATTCGGAAATACACGTGGAATTGACCAAGTGTAATTTTGTCATTCATTCACAAATGCAAAATATAAAAAAATGTTTAGAAATTAAAACATTTTCCTAAATAAATCATTTTGCTTGACTTTATACTCATGTATGAAGAACATAATTTGCATGGTAAAACATAAATTTTACAAATTTGTTTTGAATTTCGAAGTACTTCTATTTTCATAACTGTCCCAGAGCTGCAGGTGCACAGGATTTTTATACCAAAGACAGGAATAATGTATGAATTATTCTCCCTTCCAATTGCTTCCCCTCTTTAATACCCAGCCTGATTGTCTGATAGTAAATAGGACTATGTTCCAGAAAGAAGGAGAAGAAAGAAACTATAATTTCTGCCAAATGACTTTAATTCATCAATGAACAGCATACATTTACCTTTTTTCCCATATCCCCTCCAAGCATGAAGACAAATAGCATTTTGCCTTCAATCTTTTGGAGCTCTTATTTTTTGCTGATTTGAATAAATTTCACTGCTTTTAACCACTAATTCGTTCAATTCATTAATAGAATATTTTTATGGCTCTCTTTCCTTTTCTATGTAGACAAAAATACCTCTGTTTTTGTGTTACTTTCTCACAAAAGAAGAAATTTTGTTCAAATTCTATATGCATCAGACAAAAGAAAACTAATAAATAAGACCTAACCTTTTCTTTAAAAGCCCATGACTACTTAATACCACAAATTTCTGTTGAGTTACTGACAAAACAGTGAAAGCTCTTTCTATCAATTTTTTTTTTATAATGATGTGATTTCACTATAAAATAGTGAGTTTGATTGCCAGGCAATAACTTCTAATTGGAATGAGTGAGCTTGTAGAAAGAGGTATTCAAGTATCTATTGTGAATAAGTTCTTGGTAGATTTAACTATGTGAGGAGGAGGAGAAACTTAAACACATTTTTGTCCTTGTATTGTGCTAAATACTTTATGGTTTTTGAATAGGATTGTATTCAAATATTGAGAGAAAAAATATATTGCTCCATTTCTTCTATTCTGTTTTCAAAGAATGAATTATAAATTCTTTTGTAAAGATTCATTCATTTTCAATTATAATGAAGAATCCTCAGATACACATAAGCCAGTATGCTTCAGAAAAAATACAGCATTTTGTGTAGTTATGTAATTATCTAATACATAAACAAGTACATAAATGAATATATACTATATGTGGGTTTTTCAACTGAGTGGTAAAGAAGAAGCAAGCTGGAAGAAGTCACGTCTTGGTAATTGTATACCCTACATTTGCTTTTGATGTGCGTCACTGTCATATGCCCCATAAATCTTTTATATGTTCCTTTTGTCACACAATAATGCTTGGACATAGCAGAGAGTAGAATTATTTCTCTTTACTACTATGCATATTACATTTACACAAGGGTCAATTATTATCGAATAATGTCTGTGTGATAGACATCATGTTATATGCGGAGGATGTAATATTGAATAAGACACCGTGCAGATCTTCAGAGAGAAGTCACTGAGAGTGGATGGAGGGAAGACACAGATGCTGGGCTGAAAGGGGAGGAAGCTGAGGACACTGCACAGGACTACCATGCACGTAGACTCATTCTTAGCTTCCAATGACTCCTGGGGAAGGGATAAATTTATCACGTAAAGAGCAATCCACTCTTGCCACAGGCTTTGGAAATCTTGCCAGTAGGAGGAGACCCTACAACCCTCACGGAGTGGTCACAGAGAGGTAGCTAGAGAAGTGGTAGGGGCAGAACTCTAGCTGAGGCAGAGCCTGAGGATTTATTGTGGGGGCTGGTGATGCCCATTCTCCAAAGCTCATTTTGCTCCCCTAGGAGACTTTAGTTCTAAGGAGACTATTGGGCCTAAACTATGTAGGGTGGTCTTGCCCATGAGATGGGATAGATCTGGCTTGAGTATACCATGGTTTGCTGGCTTCTCTTGGGTCCCCAGCCTGGTAAGTGCCTACCTGTAGTGCAGCTACAAATGTCTAGATGGAGGGCCTCCTGGGGGCCTGCAACAAAGCTTCTGCATTGGCAGATCATGATTGACAAGTGGAGAGCTCTAGTAGAGCACCCACATGGACATACACCAGCCCACCC